AGAACAACAACACCATTAGCGATAATCAAAGAGCGTTTAGTACTACGATTGCTGCGTAACTAATGAGCTTAAATAAGATTTTCTAGTTTCGGATTTCTGGATCTGGCCGTGGGCCGGACGTCCCGCTTTCGTTGACTATCGTTGACTAACAGACCACCATTGGACTGGACGATTGTGATTTCTTCATTGGCTAGTCGTTCATTTTCTTCCTTATTTCTTCTTATATGCTGTTCTTTCTCTCTCTCCCTCTCTCTCTGCTCCCTCCCTCCCTCCCTCCTCTCTCTCTCTTTCACTCTCTCTCTCTCTCTCTCTCTCTCTCTCTCTCTCTCTCTCTGTAAAACGTGAAAAACTCCTGGAGTGGAAACATAAAAATGGAACGCCAACTAGGAAAAACATCGGCCACATCGTAATTTTTTGAGGGTTATCCGAATCCACATAATCCAGATTTTTTCTCCGAGTTCACCTACTTTCATTATCGATTTTCTACCCAAATATCGATGATTTTCTAATTATAGCAAGAAATACTTGCTGAGCTGTTTCTTACTGTTTTAGTTTCTCCTGTTTTCTCTTTCCAAATGAGAACAAACAAAGCCAATTTGATTTTTCTTTCCAGTATTTTTCCCTTTTGGACTCGACTCAAATCATCTGATAACTGTACCAAAAAAAAACTGATTGGATTTTTCTGCGATAAAACTTCTTATCAGACCTTTTTGTAAATTATGAGATTTCTTCTTGTTCCAAGGTTTTACAGACGATTTTGACTTTTCTGTCTACACAATGTTTTTTTTACTGTTATTATATGACTCGTCATCGCATCAACTGCGCGGATCCCAACACTTCGTGCATTCGATCCGTTTTCCTCGCATTCATCGTCCGCAGTGGTCTTCGAATAACCACAATGGTGCTGAGATATTTGCAAAACTTCGGGCAGCAGGTGTCTGCGGTGGGGAACGAACGCGTTCTTACGTTTTCCGAGGCCTAACGCGTTCACCACCACATCATGCGGGTCCTTTGTTTCGCTTATCTCTCAGCTAGTTCTAGATCTTCAAATAGTTCACGTGTTAGTCATTATCTTAAAAAAACGATTTTTATTAAACTTTGATAACAATTTTCAGACCAACCGTCATTTAACCTGGGTAGTAAAATATTCAACAATTGTTTAAATTTTCGAACTATACAAGGTCGTTAATAAGAAAATTTATTTCGGCTAACGTTTCGACGTCTTCTTCTTCGTAGCCGATGGCCCGAGTCGATGGTGCACAGTTGTTCGTCTTCTTGATGTGGCTTAAATGACTGTCATCGGGTAAACATCTGTGTCTTCATCGACTCTATTCATCGCCTCTGAAGGCGAAAGCGTAAAAACGTTAGCCGAGATAAATCTCATTATCATCCTCGTGTGAGGTCAAAATTTTAACCAGTGCTGATTATTTTGCTACCGAGGTTAAATGACGTTCTGTTTGAAAATTGTTTTGCTATTGGCTATGTACTAGCTAACCTGATACCGACTGCTTCAGAGTGTATTATCCGTTGAAAAGCAAATTATTATTAACGGATGCGGATTAACGGACAGTCATATAAACAACAACCGCCCTTTATAAAAGAGCATTGCCGGGTGTGTTTCGCTCATTCGTGATGCTCAGCTTAGGAGGATCCGGTTCGATGCGACACGAAGGCGCCACATCGAGTAGAGGAACAACTGTGGACAATCGACAAGGATCGACGGCTCCAATGAGGAAGACGTCGAAACGTTAGCCGAATAAACACCTCATATAAACCTCGTGTAAGCTCATCGAAAAATTATTTTACGTATTGTTTCAGATGCTTCTTTAGGATTTCATCTTATTTTTATGAATGCCGTAGAATGCTGGCGGAATTGATTCTCTCTGGAATCTTGGAGACGTCCAGGCTAAGGCGTTCTCACGTGGAATGGAGGAGAACGTTGGGATGGGGATCGAATAAACGCCTTTTTTCCTGATTGAACAGCGTTGCTAACCACTGTGGTATCTATTTACTTCTCTTTTTTTCAATTACGATAAAATTTCGTTTTTTTCTTCTTTAAAGGCTCATCACACATGATGATTATGTCATTCAATGCATCACTGACGCTTGCGATTGCAGCACACGTGTTAAGAAAAACTGTGAGAAATGTGGATTTCTTTCTCGAATTTCTGTAGTTTTGAGCTCAATACAATTTTGGAAAACAGAAGAAAATGTTAGAAAATTTCTTAGCTCACTTTGGTCGATTGGATGAGATCTCTTCCGTGAGTTTATCAACTTATCAGTGATCTAAAATACGAAAAATGTCGCCAATTCGCGGAAAGCCAATCATCGTTAGTCGTTATCAGTTAAATACAATGTTGCTAGTAATTCTAAACTCTATCGTACTTATCCAATCCCCCGGTTGTGGTTTTTTTTATCATAGTGTAAGATATCTCGCCATTGTTTCTTTGCATTACTGAGAATTCTGTTGGCGTGTTAGTAAAGCTGAACTGACGTCTTCGACATCATTATTGAGAAGCGCTGAAGCGTTTCTTAGCCTTTGGAGATACCACTGGCGATTCTAGTTAAACCTCTACCACATTTTAATCATAGAGCAATCGAACAAATACTACTAAATTAAGAATCGTCTAGCGTAATGATTAGAGAGCGTCTGCATACATATGTAGTCGTTACGTCGATCGCGCATTTGGGATAAACCAAGCCCTCCATCGAAATCTGCACAAATGCTTACCAGAGTTCTCTGATTGTTAAGAATAGAGGCAAATGCATGCCATATCTTCACAATGTCGATTGAAACCGAAAGTTTACGCTTCTAGTAGTAAATTCTATTCATCTTCGTCTAGCACCAAATCGTCCAGTGAGTTTCAACCACTCAAGGGACACGATGTGCATCACAACTTTATAACGAAAGCCATTTTTTTAGTGTTTTTACCGAAAGAAGTACCCAGGGGAATTTGCCGAATTCTTCTCCGCTATTCCTTCACTAGTAGCGGTCGATCTCCGACATTTCCTAGTGAATCCTATTAGTCGAAAATCTCTCATGGTTCTAGTGAGAATTTCTCACGACGGATCCTTGACGTCGTCAAATGTGGCTCTTCATCAAGCCCAGTTAATCACTTCCTCGAAATTCCACTTGCAATACTCAATCGGGGCGCTTTTTTGTTTTCTTTTCTAGACTCTTCCATTAAAGTGTTTTCAAAGACGGGTTTTTCACCAGTGCACTTAAATTTTCCTTGGTGGTTTGCTCAGATTTTCTTTTTTCATTTAATTTTAATATTCTTTTCGATGCTGTTCATCGGTAGATTAGATATATTGGAAAGTTATCATCTGAATAAATTCACTGTTGATGTTGCGTTCGTTTTCATTTTCTACTAACATATTGGTTCTCCATTGATGAGGCGATAAGTGACGGAGCTCGATACCTTTACATCTAAATAACATCAAATAAGGAGCTAATAAAACAAAGTATTGCGTATTTTGAACAACTTAGAGCAAACTACCGATTATCCCTACTTCTACGAAATCTATGCTCATCTATTCTCTTGATTTCTTTGAAAGGATTTGAACTAGGAAGTTGCACTCACATGCAGTGTTCTCCTGCATTGCGCTACGTTACAAAGGTTCGCTTAATTGTAGTCAGCAAACAGGTGGTATTGCGACAAAATCTTTCTCTTATTTTTCTTGCTGCAAGAATTACTTGAATAATACGATTCTAATGGCTTTTTCTCTTAGCACGTCATTTGTCTTCTGACATATTGAATCTATTCAAATGCTTTCAACGGATTTATTAACAAGGCTAATTGACTTAGAATTTTATCACCATACAAAACAATATATAAATCATATAAAACATTCAATGTAACATTTTTATGCGACAATCGAAAATCTACTGAATAACTTCCTACTTCGTCGTAGTTGGGACGCTCGTCTTGATTTCAAGATGCGACGTAGAACAAGGAGTTCCTCTTCTGAACTGAGTCACCCGTGCTGGAAGGGAGTTCGATATTTCTACTCAGGATCTCAGCTGAGAGTAAACCAGTGTCGGGAATTGCTATTAAATTGATGTGTCAGAGACTGCATGTGGTGACGACCAGCGAAGACATGAACAGTAACTTTTCGCTATTCCAGAAGAAAAAAAAACCTGTCCAACTAGAAACGTCACCAAAAGGCTCAAAAATTTTGAATTTAACAGGTAATTGATAAAGTTGTCTACATCAATATCAGAAACTGTATTAATCGAAGAAGACAAACAGTTCATTTTAGTTTAAATCGTTCTTGAAACTCTTTTCACTTCTGCTAACTTTTTATTTACTGCCCATTACAATTTTTTCATGGCAAGGTATAATGCGAAGTACAACGCTAACGGTGCTGATATTTTGCAAAACTCCGGACCGCAGGTGTCTGGGTTGGGGAACGAAAGCGCTATTACACTTTCTGGTGGCTAACGCGTTCACCACCACACCATGCGGTCCTAATAACTTTCATTTAGTTCCTTGGAAATTATCTGAGCCATTTCCATGTCTGTGTGTAACAACAGTTAACAAAACAATATTGCGTGGTGATATAATGATTTTCATTATTTTTTCTCACTAGTTTTTATTTTAAGGTTACAATAGTATCAAACTAACTTAGTGAATATTGCGGAAAGCACAATGGTGCGTTCGTTCCCCACCGCAGACACCTGCGGTCCGGAGTTTTGCAAATATCTCAGCACCATTGAAGTTAAGTTAGTGAGTATTTTAATCTTTAATATTTAGTACTTTTGCATATTGTCCAACTCCATTTACATGTTACTTATTCGTTTAACTGGACATCTCCATAATGGAGTTTTCTGCTTTCTAGAATGTTTCCGTGTTCACGTGAAAGGAGTAGATCCTAAGCAATACCGCCGTTTGATCTCCGATCGATACGTCCGTCAAGACCGACCGCGGCGTCACGTTTCACCTTCTCACCTCTTCATGATCATTCAGCGCCTTACTGTATTGCTTTAACGAAAATAAATGAGAATTCTTCCAGATGAGATACAGTATTATTTAGAAATCACATCAGATGACATAACAAAAGTACGTCCTCCGTCTCGTATCATGGGACGTAGAACTTCTTTCTTTTGAGAAAGAACTCTATTATTGTGGAAAATCAATTTTTGAACTAGTTGAAATTCAACTATTTCGGTCGGTCGCCTATAGATTGACGGACACGAATGGATTTCAAGGCACAAAATGGAGTATTGATCGATTCGTGCTGTGTAATAATATAGCAATGACATCTGGAACAAGAATAATATGAAATCCAGGAAATGTCGTTCGAAGAGACCTATTTCTTCTTTCGTTTGCCACAGGCTGACACATTTCTCATTTCAGCGTTACACACTTTTGAAATGTGGTCATTTATTTTTATTGGTTCCTTCTTGTTATCAATGAAGAAGTCAAAGATTGTCAGCCGAGTTTTATGGAGTGAAATCATGGACGTACTTAAGGATTACTCACTAGCTTGGCGGATCCTCCCATTACTGGATATGGCATGATTTATTTATGTGCAGCGGATCACATGGATTATCTTCCAAAAAATTCCCAGCTCGTTGGCTTGGATATAGGCTTTTTGCTGAAGTAAGCAAGGAAGCTCGTCTCCATCTGCCTCCTCAAACACACGTTCCATATAATTCCCTGTCATTTATAGTCTGAATTGCAAGCTTTTAATGAAGTCTGCTAACTTGAGCTAGGAATTCATCTAGCATAGCAGGAGTAAGAAATTTATCTCCTGTAGCCGTCTGCCACATCAGGACCACTTTCCACATGTTTTCTACCCGTCTACAGTTTAGATTGGAAATTTTTAGTTATATCTACGTGCTTCAGCTGGAAATTCGTCTAGCGTAGCGGAAACAGGGAGCTCATTTTCTGAAAAATCCTCATGGAGTCCGGTACATGGAAACTACCGTTAATCTAATATTACTTTACTGCATGTTTTCAAAATCTAGCATATGGATCAGATCAATAGCTTCTCTGCTGGTCTTCAAATTACTTTATCATACACTTTGATAGAAGATAAACTTCAATTAGAAAAAAGTAGCTCCCAGAAGAGTTAAGGCTTAAATCAGCTGTTTTCCTAGTGACTGATGAGCTCTCTATGACGTTCACTCATTGGGCAACAGTATTTGTTTTCTATTTTCACTCGTTTTCTGCGCATTTATTGACATTAGTCGACTTATCTACTGTGTCAAAAATCTCTGCTAGCAACTCCATAATATTCCTTATTTATTTTGAAACTGATCGTCATTAACTCTCGGTAATAAAATAATCAACATGTGTTTATATTGTTAAGCTTACACGAGGTTGATAGAGGCTAACATTTCGACGTCTTCGTCTTCATAAGGGCTGACGATCCTTATCGATGGTTCAGTGTTGTTCCTCTTCTCGATGCGGCGTCATCTCGCATCGAACCGCTCTTCTCTTCTTCTTCAGCTCTTCTGTACAGGGCGGATGTTGTTGATATGATTATCCGTTGATGATAATTTGTTCTTTAACGAATAATCCTCCTTCCTTATTTAATTTTCTCTTTTTAAAAATATTCTTACACGTATACTTCACTCTTAGGTAGAAAGCTTTTTAAATCTTTTTCCAAACGCTTTCACTTTTTTCTGAAGATATTTTACTCAGAAATCATTGCTAGTGAGAATGTTCATTTGACGGAAAGTATGTATCTTAGAGAGCTTTAAGCATCCTCATCAATAATCTTGTGGTTTCGTTGAAAAGTTTTTACTTTTTAAAGAAATAGAAGAGAAGAAATGGTTTCGTTTTGCCTTTTTAGGAACTTGCAGGCCCGGTAATTTTATTACTCTAATTCATTCAACAGCTAAGCCCACTTACTACCTAAAACTTTCTAAACTTAATTTTTCTTCAGCTTTTTGAATACGTTGTATTTTTGCTTCTTCTTGAAAAGTTCTAGGAAGTTCTAGGAATTAAAAAAGTTCTAGGAATTAGTTCTAGGAATTAGGAATGGAATTTAATCGTCCACCAACTCGCATCTTTTATGAGATCCCCCTGACCGTCCGATGAACTTCTTACCGGTACAGAATTAACAGAACCTTGGCAGAGTTTGCTCGAAGCTTCTCCCTTCTCAATCGTCCTCTTCTTGACTCCTTAGTAGGAACTTATATGTTAGCGTTTTGTTTTAGATAATTGTGTCTTGCTTATCTCATTATCTCAGTCTTTTGAGTCTTTAATGAAATATTTCCTAAGGAGTGCGTAGCGCACTGGTAGTGAAGAAATATTTCATAAGATCAACGCTATTGACAGCGAAAATTTCTTGGTTTCCTCCTTTGAATTTTTTGTGTTTCTTAGCCATTTAAGATTTTTTAGCATTTGTTTCTTAAATGTATTTGTATACTTATTTTCATTTATTGGTCTCTTTCCAGCAGCACATGTTCATCGTTAGAGCCCTTAGAGATTTTTGGAACCAATGGCAGGCTCAGTGGGGTGTTCATTTTAATTTTTTTAAATTTTATTTGGCCTCCTTTACATCTACTGTGAGAATCCTAGCATTTATCACATTCGATTCATCTCTTCACATCCATTTACGAAGGTCTTCCAACCTTTACGTGTGGCTTCGGCTGCTGCTTGAGGATTTTCATTTCATCTTGAATGTCGTAGAATGGTCAAGGTGATCCTCCTTGGAGCCTTGAGATAGCCGAGCTATAGCGTTCCCTGTTGGATTGCAGAAAACGGTTTTCTCTCGGAAAAGTCCGCTACCAATTTCCCCACCTCGGAGGGATGAGAGCCTTGGTGAGCCTGGGGAAGGATCAAACCAGAACCGTGCTTGTGATGATCGGCATTGCTACCATTGTGCTATCCTCCCAGAGTCGAAACAGCGTCGCCGTGGTCCAAGATTGTTTTCCATATCTCCCGTTTTTCACTATCTACAGAATGTGATTTGTCACCGAATGGATAGCGAATTCCTTTTAAACGACAGTCTAATTCTGGATGCGTTTTGCGCACTTTTTTCCAAGCCGAATACCTGCTATATTGATCCTGAAATGAATTTGCCTTGTTTCGATCGGCAGGAGTTACAAAGAATAAAGCAGTAACTAGCTGAGAGACATGCGAAACAAAGGACCAGGATGGTGTGGTGGTGAAGTGCGCTGCTCCCCGGTGAGGACAACAGCGCGTGTTCGTTCCCCACCGCATGCACCTGCGATCCGGAGTTTTGCAAATGTCTCAGCATTTCATACGAGTTATATTTCGCAACATACCCTGCCATTAAAAAGAAAAAGGCAGTAAATAAAAGGGTTACGAAAGCAGTAAGTGTTCAAAAGAAGCTGTTTACCATGTGAATGCAATTTACATATTTATTTTTCTTAGGTTATGAAAATGCTTGACTAAGTAATTTACGTGTACATTTGAACTCTCCAGGCTCCGAAAAAGGCGAAACCACGACACGTTAACCAGTGCTGAATAAATCTTGTTATTATTCTGCTCAAGGAGGAAGCACTGACTTATTGAAAAATGTTGAGTTTAATAAAAAAGAAGATTGACTTGGGAATTATCTCGAGAGATTTAAGATGTATTGTAGATAGACGGGCGTACTATTATGCGACTGATTTTCACGTGTCGGTAAGTTATGGAGGCGGTGAGAAGTGAAGCAGGTTAAGAAGAATTTCACTTGTTCTATGATGAAAATGCTTCAATAGATAGGCATGCTGACCTTTAGAGCATTCTAATTGTCCTAAGATGCAAACGAGTACAGAGAACGTATTTATTTTTCTCCTGTATTGAATTCACTTATTAAATGACTTCAAAAGATAAACTTATTGTCTCTCTTGCACCAATTCACCAATGGAATTACATCGGGAGACGAACTTCTTGTCTTCATCCATCTGATACATCCGCCAGATTTCTTCATAGCATCAACTTCTCGCCTCCTCTTCTTCAGATTCGCTTATATCTCTCGTATAATCGTAATCATATTCATTCCTTCTTCGGCGCTTATAGGCTTGTGCGTATGCAAATTACATGTACGCAATAATTACGGCAAAAGCCTGCAATCAAGTGCCTATAAGAGAATTATTTCATAGTTTCCTATTCAAGAAAACAACTTTCCACCATTCCTTCGACCCCGCTCTCAATTCACTGCTGACCTCAGCGAAACACACTACAAAAACAAAGTTGTAAAGTACCATATCAAAACTATGATACTCTTTTTGATCTTTGAGCAACTTGCACAGGTGTGAGATGAATAAAGAGTTCACTTTGTTCTTTAATAGGGCAATTTTGTGTTATTAAAAGTTGCGGTTAAATATGAAAGCCATAATAGTAATATATGAACAAGCCGACTTTCATTGAGCCTCAGTATAACCAATTAATACTTTCTTACACTATTAAGCAGACATAGAGGTTGGGATAAAAATATTTATTCAGCTAACGTTTCTATGCTTTTCGTTTTCTTTAAAGCTGCTTTAATCAGAAGATTTGATGGTCTTCAGCTGGTCATCCTTGCGATGCGGGTGGTGTTGGTTGTCAGACGGAGTCGAGTCCAGTCGTAGGACCACCACGCTAAGATAATGTCATCATACGTGCCAAATATGGAATTACTATTGCAGGATGGAATACCTGCCAAAAAAGCCGGTCGGATCATGGATGAAGGCAGTGGATGAACACCCGTCCTGTATAAAAAAGCACCATCGATTGTGAAAACATCATGAGGACGACCAGCTGTGGACCATCGGCTCGGACTGACGTGACTTTCAGGGAAACGAAGGTGCCGGAACGTTAGCCGAGTGAAAGATTGTACCATCATAGTGTTTGCTTAATAGTACAAGAAGGCGTAATGGCAATATTTGAATTTCAAAAAATAACGGGACTTAGGACAACATCAATATTTCACTTTATTTTTTTCAACTTTATTTGGTCTGTCCTCACATCTACTGTGCGGGTCACAGCACTTCTCACACTCAATTCGTTTCCTTGCACCCATTGTCCACGAAGATCTTCCAAATTTTATGTGTGGCTTCTGCTACTGTTTGAGGATTTCCATTTTTTCTTCAGTGTCGTAGAATGCTGGTCCAGCAATTCTCCCTAAGTTCTGAGATAGCCGAGCTGGAGCGTTCCTAAACGGACTTTAGAAAGTGATTTTTTTTCCCAGATAAGTCCGGTACCATGAAGGGATGCAAGCCTTGGTTGGCCTGGAGCGGAATCGAACTACACCATGCTCTCGATGGCGGACATCATTACCACTGTGCTATCCGCCTATCAATACTTTATTACAATGATACAATGTCATTTCGATGTTTCGTCAATAGCTGTTTGGTAATCTAGGACAAAATTTTAAATAAACACTTCAGTAAGCTACTTTTTAGTTTTTCAAAACTTTTGGCTCACATTATACAAGAAATTTAGGAAATTTTATCAATGTTAACATTATATCCAATTTAGGAAATTTTCTCTGGCGCTCATCAATTTTCGTGTTACCCAATAATCTTCAGTTTTACTTTTGTTTTTTAATCCTTCTTTCTATGCTTTTTCTTCCTTTTGTGCTCTTTCAGGCTATTCATTATCTTCTCTATAACTATTTAATCACTTCCTACGAACATTAACTTTTCCTTTTATTAAACTTTCCTAAAAATAATAGCGATTTTCACTAACTCTTATGATGTCACCAACACTTCTCTATCTTAGGCATTCATTAACATCAGAATAGAAACCTTTCAAAAAATACCAAATCATGAAGGCACCGTTTTTTGTGAAGGCGTACAGTTGATTTCGCTTTCCTAGTAGAGATTCATTCAAATCGTCTTATCGTATCTCTTCCATGGATTTGAATAACTCACGAACGTTTCAGCCACTTTTTGAGATTTGAATACTATTAATATATGTGGTTCAGGGGCCTCGTCTAGCGCGGCGTTTAGACGCCCCTTTAGTGCTCATG